CAGTCAGCTGAGCTTAGAAATCCACTTCCTCTTTGGAACATGCCCTCCCAGCCAGAGACTGCAGTGCACTTTAGAGAGGAGCTTCGGAATCAAAGGCAGGTCATTCCTCCTCAGGCCCTGCGTGTTTACTTTGAGATGTTGGTCTCTCGCCAACCCACACAAATACTCTAGAGCGCACATGCTCTCTGCCTCACTCACAGTGTAGTCAGTCATGAAGGGCAAATCTTAGTACAGTGTCATTGTGTTGAAAGATGGAAAATCTTCTATGCACAGTACTTGATTGTTTAGTCTTGAGTATGTGTGCAGTAAAGCATAATACAAGTACAGATGTAGATACAAAAGAGTTTGTCATTGGAGGTGCAATAAACTTGAGTAGATTGACAATGGCATTGTAAATTGCCAGTGGGTTGATCATTGATGATTTGAAATGTGCGATTTATCAACCCAACAGCAAAAACTAGCAAACCATTTTGACTTTTGAGCCTGTTGACTACTGTGAAACTTCATCTTATATTATAATTTTAGATAATTTTAATTCTCTGTGTATGAAGCTTAATTATTTTGTCTTTCAGAATAGTTTTGTGTATTGCATGGATGATATTGTGTGCAAAGCTTTAGGCGAACTCATATACATACATTGAGTTTTGACCATTCCTAATGGCTATGAGATCATCGTCTTGATTTGTTGTCTTTGTATTTTACCACTTGCACAAAAGCTCTTATTATTTTTAGGTTTAAAAGAGTAGAATCTGAATACACACTTCCTTCTTTCCAACCACATGGCACCCTTTGGGGCAGGCTTTCATGGTAGTTGCACATCTGTACTAATTGCCATTTCTGTTAAGGAACCGTTTATCACTGAAACCTGTATAACAACATTAAATTAGACCCTGACTGATACATTTTGGGACTGATACCAATTTTAAGGAGCTTAAATTCCAATTAACTGATATCAGGTGTTGTAATACTTATATTCTAGGTTTAAATTTTATACCAAATAATTTAGTGATGTGGTAATTGATATGATTAGCCGTTCTCCATTGTCATTTATTAAACTCAAAAAGCAAAAACTTCTAAACGTCTTAAATCATTGATAAATTTTGAAGCACTTGTGCGAAAGTGATCAAGAATTCTGTTGGTTGCTTTACTTTGTTGTTTATCTCATGCCAAAGGTAATTTGTCGTTTTTCGGTTTTTGACATGATTTGAAATCGCCTGTTGGCCTTTACATTGTGTGTAAATTTCATGATGAATGGACCAAAAGAAGCAGCCCAAAATGACTTGGAAAAAGGTCTGGTTCCATTGACTTACATTAAACTCAAGCAGGTTTTTTCCTTCTCCTGTAAAGTTAGAATTTTGGAGATACAAGGTTTTCTTCCGACAACAGTGATATCAGTGTGAACATACACTCCTGTTTATAGTGATGAACTAAAGTAAAAGCTAGAGCAGTGTTGCTGCAGTAATAGTTTACAAATAGTCTCCTAGGATGTGAACCATTTTGGTCAGTGCACCAAATAACAAATCATCTACAGCAGAAACCGCTAATCCCAGCCCTTACAATCTGTTTTCAGCATGGTAGCATACACATTTACAGTGGAATTTTTAGCAGGGCTGTTGCGGTGGTGATTATGTGGTTATGCTCATTTCAAGCTCATTTGTTTAGTTATGATTTACTACCATTTTATTTGTAAGACTATCAGACATGCTGGTTAATGTAGGTCTAATGAATATAGACCACCTGTACAAATATGCATAGAGTGATTTCAGTGTTTCCCCTTAGAGGGGCAACACTGAAATCACTTTATCTATATCTAGCATTGAGAAATAAACTGTTCTTCCAAAAAGGCCAAATTTTGCAGTGCTGTTCTGTGGTTTCCAGCAGGTCTTTTGTGGCCTTCTGTAGATTCCAGCAGGGCTTTTGTGGCTTTTTGTTCTAGTTTTAATAAATATGCAATGCTGTGTTCCATCAAAATATAAAACAGCACCCATCAGCAGTCACACTGCTACAGTTTTTTTTCTTTTTTTTTATATTTTTATTAAATATGCAGTTTTCATCTATTAGTTATAGTTGTGTGGATTATTTCACCAGAGCAAACATGTTTGTCTGAATGCAAAGAGAATGTTTTTGACTTGTGGCTGCTGCGGTGTGGCTAATAGCTGCTCTGCTTCCATTATGAAGAGATTGCTAAACTTGGCAGGCTGCTCATTAACAGTCTCCAAAGCCTTCGTGTTTTCTGGCTCACCATCTGTTGTTGTTTTTTTTATTTATTTTACTCCCCTCCCTGTCAATAATATTATTTAGCATTGTAAAAGCTATATATCCTAAAGACAAGCTGTGATCTTATCAGCAACCAAGTAATCCTGAGTAAGTGGTAACGTCCTTCCCTCTCAGTCAAAAACATAACAAGATAAAGGCAGGATTGGCTGTTTGAGCTGCTGCTGCACTGAGTGGTATCCTTTCCATCCCCTCACCCCATGGTTTAGGGGTCTGCTGTAGGATTTGAAGATGGTAAAGCCTGTCAAAGCCGCTGAGGTTGTCACTGTGTGGGAATGTGATGAGTTGTGTCTGTGCAGGGGCTATGCTGTCTCCTCTTGGTGCCCCTCTTTGGGTTATGTGTATGTATCTGTGGCCTACAGGTAGTATTCTTCTAATGTTTTGTCGAATATTGTCTCAAATATCATTCTGTGAGATGTTTGGATTTAATGATCTGAAAGAAGATTTTTCTTTAGTCATTGTTTTTAACATGTGTTTTGGAATACTAAGGCTGGCCCAATAATTTGACTTAATTTGCATTGTTATCCTTTTTTTTTTTAGGTTTCAGACACTTTGTCTCTTTTAAGCCACAGAAATTGTAAAATAAATTTCATCAGCAAAGGCCTTTAGATAGAACAGTGATTGTTAATGTATGGAAAAAACGCTCTGAGCAAAATTTATGGCATGAGCTTAGTATACCACAGGGGCACGATATATTTGATGAATCATCTTAAATATGTACTACCATGGGCCCAATCCATGCTGTCTCAGATTTGTATCTATTTATAACTGTTTTAGGCATGGATATTAGCTCTTTTTCTGCCTTTCCTTTATAATTACACAGTTTTACAGCAGGTCTATTTAATAGTTATAGTTTTATACCATTGTATCAGAGGAGGTCTCCTCCCCACACAGTTAGTACAGCGCAGGAGCTGTCCTGCAAGTACCACAGCAAGATCATCATATTTTAGTATTTTGAATATAGTTTAGGACACCTATAAGAAGTTGGACTGTGTGATTTGACTTTTAGGAGGTGGAGGTTATGCTTCTGTCACATGCAAGTGAAAAAAATAGGCTCACTTTTTTGACGCAAGACACACGTCTAGCACAGCCACTGTGGACTGAATCAATAATTAAAATGGAAGTGTATGTGTTCTTTCAGATGGTTGTGATTTAAAAAGATAGATATGTTTCGGTTGTGCAAATAGTTTTACAGTTTTGATTAGTCAAATCTGTCATATTTTATCAAACATTCATTGCAGCCCTACTCTGTACTATTATTCTGGAATTCATGTGACACAACAGTATGGGTTTTTAGGGTTAGTGGTATTGATAAATAGATAACAAGCATTGTGGGTAATATTTCTGTTCCGTTAAACTGCAGTATCCCTTTTAAAAGAAAAGAAAACAAATTAAACTAGCAAGCATGTTTATAGGACTTTTTTTTATAGCATAGCATACAGTGCTCAGGAAGAATATGTTCATTATCTTTATTAGTGCAAACTTGAATAATATCTGATATTATGACACTGTTATATATTTGGAAAATATTGTGATATAGAATTTGATCAGTGCTGCTCAGCACTAGTTACATGGATTGCTTTGCTGGAAGCTGCTTTGTGCTGGAAATCATCATCCTCCAAGTCAGAGCTGTTGACATTGCTGACACAAAGACATAACAAAGCTTTCTCACATGCAGCGGTTTGCTTTATTACTAGTTGCTCAACACTGCACTTACGGAGTCTTTGTTTCAAACTTGTCACAAGCCCAGCCTATATTTATTTGCATTTTGCCTGTTTCCTTCACCAGCACCTCCCTTTCCCTGTAGTCTTTCTCTCAGTAGTCCTCAGCCCCCTGAAGCCATGTTGTCAAGTCTACCTCTTCATCACATCTTTTGATGTGCGCCCCTTTCCTCCCCTTCTTTCACTTGCTCTTGCTCTGTCTTTCTCCCTTATTCTGTCTTTGTCTCCCTCTCTCTCTTTCTCGCTCTCGCTCCCCCTCTCTCCATATCTATTTCTTTCGCCCACCCCTCTATTATGCCTCTCTCTCTTCTCCTCCAATCTTCTCTGTCTTCTCCAGCCCTGGCAGAGAGAGCACATGTGGGGGTGGGGTGAAACTGCGCTGATTTAGTCGAGCTGCTCCAATTGGCCGAGAGGTAGTGCTTTGCAATGAGGGGGGAGGGGAGGAGGGCTGGCCTGCCTCTGTTTATTATGCACCCCCCCCTCGGCCTCTTATCTTGTGTTATCAAGGCAACAGCTCCTCCCATGCACACATTAAAATAGACAAGAGCTATCGGGAGGCTGCCTCGCTATGGAAGCGGGAGGAGGGTGGGGGAAATGTGTCGAATGTCTGCCAGAGACGACAAGCCATTTAATTTGAGCAGCGAACGAGGATATGCGTCAATTTGCTGGCCGTATCCAAGACGCCGGTGATGCTGTGACCACCACACACAGTCCAACGTCACAGCTTCATCAGACGAGAGGGGTGGGCACTGAGCTACACCACCGACAGAGAGAGAGAGAAAGCAGCCAGGCAGGCAGGCTCCTTGTGTGTGGTGTGTGTGTGTGTGTATGTGCGCGCTGCTGCTACAGATGTGTGTGTATGAGAGAGTGTGTCCGTGTGGATTTTTATACTGGATGTTGGACTGCCGCTAGTCCAGCGCTGCTCTGTTACTCTGGCTTCCTGCTGCTGCTGTGCATCCTTCATTCTGCCCACTTCTGACACCATGATTTTTTGCAATCACTTAGGCGAGTACAAGAAGGACGAACTCCTGGAAGCAGCGAGGTGAGTACATGCACCTTCACCCCTCCCCTCCGTCTCTATATGTCTGCCTCTCTGTTTTTTTTTTCCCTCCCTCCATCCCCTTCTCTCTCACTCTCTCTCTCTCTCACACTCTCTCTCTCTCTCTCGCTCTCTCTCTCTCGCTCTCTCGCTCTCTCTGTATACCTATCTCAGGTGTTATTGTGTTATTGCATGTCTCAGAGATGGGAGGATGTCACTGAATGGTGGTTGTTCTTGTGTGTTTGCCTGTGACGGCCCAGAGAGTTTAAAAGCCGGCTATAGGAAAAGAAAACACAGAGAACAGCGTTGCTGATATTTAGCAGCATGCTAAAGGCACAGCGCTGTTCTCAGAGTGGGCTCACAGTAGATGTTTTTTAATTGTTGTCTTATCCCTAATGGAGAAAGTACATACAGATTCCATTGGTATGCTTCCATTTTGTTAGCACAAATTCACTTATGAGCGCTTACCCTCCTACCTGTTGTCTTCTTGACCACCGCCTTCCAAATGCACCTAATCTATGAAGTCATTTTATCATGGGAGGGCCAGACTTATATTCTGTTGAGCATGAAAGGAGTCTGTTTCTAGAAGCGAGTGACCGTGGCTGCCCCAGCAGTGGCTCTTTTGCCTTAAGCTCTGCACCATGTCATGCCGAGTCAGATGTGTTTTTCATGCTCAGCTCCTCATCTTCACTGCGTTCCACCCTCTTTTTATAGCCCTGCCTCCGGCACAGCCTCCAGCATGGGTGCAAATCAGGATTCTTATTCTTTAATAGTGATCAAGTGAGAGCAGCCAGGAGAAACTACTAAGACCTTGTAAATTCTTGCCAAGAAGATCATTAGGCAGAAGCATGATCACGGGCTTCAGTGCAGGGAGAGGATTTAAGCCAGTCTTGGTCCCCTTTTTCCCATAACAGCGAAATTAAGCTGCCTTTCTTTTGTGCTTAATTCATTAGACCTGTGCCTTGGTTCGGTCTCAGAAATCAAATTAGACAGAGAGACTTCAGACAGACGGACGGCCAGCTAGTGTTGCTGTGAGAAAGACAGTTTGACTTGTGGCCGGCACCATGCTTTCCGGTAATCTCCTGAAGATTGGGATGCATCTGAAAGTGTATCAGGAAGACTGATGAAACCCTCTTGTCTCTCATCCCCTCTCCCAGCTTCTAATCCCTCGGCCTGTCCTGCTTTCCAGTTGCCGCGATGGAGCGTGCATCTAAATGAAGAATCTGCCATTTTCACTAGAGCCGGTTATCTGTAGTTACCGACAGAGAGCAGCTTGGGAGGAATAAATCTGGTGTTTTTGTCACGTTTTGGCAAACCTTGGTAGATAGGATATAAACGAGCTGCCTTTCTGAACAGTTGGCTTGGGAATAAACTAATTTAAGGCTGTTGTTATTGTGCTTTAAGTGTATTCAAGGCTGTGACACCTTAGAGAGGGTATAAAACAGTGGATTTTTCCACAAGGTAGAGAATAGTGCTGGAGCAGTAAATATATTATGTTTGCCAAAATACAAAGCCAGGCCTCAAGAAATCTCTGAAAGCAGCTTGGAAAAGAACAGAGGGCCTTTCTGAAACAATTGTTTTCTGTTCCCCACCTGTGTAAGTGGCTCTAACCAACTTGTGATTAGTTTGGAGCATTCTCTGCCCTGTCTCTGACCTCCCACAGTGTGAGATGGCATTATGGCCCAGAACCTCTGCTGCTGGATTTGGTTTGGCAGAGCTGGCCAGTGGAGAAACATGGGAAGGTGCAGATGAGTCAAAAGTGCTGCAGGCCACAGGCAGAGCTAGCAAAGAGCCTCTCTGGGACTGGAGGTTTGCTTCTCATTTATGGCACAGCTCACATAAATGACTTTCTTGTTGGCCATCTCTGAGGTCTAGAGAGAAGCTCAGGGTAGTGTTAGATAGGCCCCACTGAGCTGTAAACACACGCTCCATTATTGTTGCCCACTGCCCCTTCAACACACAACCCCCCCCACCCCGTTTCCCAAAAGGCAAGCCTGGCAGAAGCTTTCCATCTCCCTCGCTCCCTCTGCTTTCACTAAGTCTTTAATTTTCCCCCTTTGTCTACTCGCTTCACACTCTCTGCCTCTTCCTCCTCAAATACAGTGTGTTTTGCTGTTTTGCTGTTTTCCTATGTTCTTTGTAAACTGCTGGTTTGCTTCAGGAGCGGAAATGAAGAGAAGCTCATGGCCTTGCTCACCCCGCTGAACGTCAACTGCCACGCCAGTGACGGCCGCAAGGTAAGAGCAGCTGTCCTGCACGCACCACTAATGTAAGAAGCTTCTACTGTTTCTGCTTTAATCTTTATGCTCTTATATTAGCCCTATATGTATTTTGAGTCAGGCCAATTTTTTTTTTTTCTTGTTTAGTTTAAAATTCTACACGACGTTCCTCTACATGATGCTCTCTTGGGGGGAAATAAACAAACTTGTTTTTTAATGGAATGAAGACAATAATAAAAAAGAGAAGGTAGTATCAAAATCAACACTGGCCATCAACCATCTGCAGTCTTAACTCACTTAATTTCTCATCAAATCATTGATCTGGACAAATCTTGTTTGGAACTACCTTTTAACTAATGCATTGTGCGATATTCAGACCTCAAAATATCACTATGTAGAGCTTGAATTTCTGGATAAAGCATAAATTTCTTCTCCTCATTATTCGAATATGCCCTGATTCGGGGCCAACTTAAATCCCCCTCTCCTCACACAGTAGCAAGTTGCAGGGTAATTACAGCATCAAAGGATATGATAGCGACACCTTCCACATGCAATTACTCATCACATTTTACTTTGTTTATTCTGACTTGAGGTTACATGAAACTTTTGATCATTTGCTACACTGCAACATCTTTGTTCTGTGAAAAGTTCTTTCAAGATTCGGTGAAAACTTTTGAGTTTGAGTCAGGATGTGCTATATTTAAGAATGATGGTCTGACTACTTGTGAAAATTTGCAAGTGTCCCGTCCCTCAGGGCGAGATAAGCGTCGCTTGAGTTAGGAAAACGGCTGCTAGAGTCAATCTGTTAGTGAGATCTGGAGTTTGATTTAGAAGACACGAGTACGTGGCCGTAGCAGAGAATCTGCCTCATGCATATTTATTGAGTACTGTCTATTTCCCAAGTCTTCTCTCAAATGTCATATGAAAATTAGAGAATCATCACAAGTATGTTCGCACACTGTCGATGCACTGCAGTAGAGCTCATGAAAATGTCCGTGTGACTTTTTTGCACATTTAAGTCATATTCTCTGTAGTATTTTTGTCACGACTATAAGATTCTTAATACTTTTACCACTTTTTTTATTCTTGAGAATATTAATCTATTAAGACAACTTTGCAAAGCTGGATTGGAGTCTGTGAACGGGTTCGACAGGATCTCTTAACCGCTGGACATAGGTGATGGGCCTTCAGAGATTGCGTTTTATCGATCCAGGCCTTTATGGCCTGTATCCCCATCTACTGCTTTAACTAGCTGCTACACATAGCTGCCTGACACATCACCCTCAATTGGGCTTTAGGCGTTTGGAGCGTTCTCCTACTCTTTGTTTAGGCCTTTTATCGCCAGACGCTCTTTAAGTTTGGTGTGTTGGCAGTTATTGATTTAAATAGTTTCAGGCCTTTCCAGGACTGGAGTCATCATTTTTGATGTAAGCTGTGATGCAGTTCCATTTCAATCTCAGTATTGCGCTGCCTCTTTGCATAATATTTTTGCAGATAATTTGAGCTACTGAGAATAAGCACTGTAGCTTTTTGAATTTAATTGGTTTTTGTGTAAGGATGACGACTGTGACGATTACAGCCAGCACAATGATACTTATTCAAACATAAAAGCTGCTCTGAGCATTATGCCTAGATAATCTGCAGCCTTTTTTACTTTGGGATGATGTTTTTTATTAAAGATCTCTTGTGTCTGGCCCATCTGCTTTATTCAGTGTTGTGCTTTTTCAGACGAGCTTTATGGAAGTGTATGTTGATGTTGGTGGTGGCTTTAGTCCGCCTCTGCCTAGACTAGGACAGTGCTGCAGTCTCCCTGCCTTTTGTTGCTCTTTCTGTCTTTCAGTACACCATTGAAGCCTATGAAAAGCCCTACGCAACACTAGATTAACTACAGAGAGTCTCTGCGCAGAGGAAAGAGCATCGTTTTCAGCAGCCAGAAGGTGGATCAGCTGCCTTTCTCTTGTGTTATACAAGGCTGTTCTCGAATACATAGGCTACTTCTGTGGGTCATGTTCATATCCATCATTTTATTATCAGGCTTTATGACTGAACTTTATCTGCTGCCTTCCAGTCCTGTGTTACTGCAGATTAGTGTTATCGAGGTGGAGGACCTTGAGGTTGTCTGAGAGGGAAGATGCAGGAGTGCATTATCCATCATTTACCCCTCTTAGGTTGCCTGCCAATTTCATTTGACTGATATTCTTACTGTGTTTTGACCCTGAGCACAGTGAACTGACAGGTGTGATGGTTAGTCTGTAGTGAGAAATGCTGATAAATGTTTTATGCTGTTTTCATCAAAGCATTTTCTGTTTTCTGTACTATTAAATTTATGTGCGTAATTTTTCCCTGAAGCAGTTGTAGTGCTGACTACTGACAATTTGGAGAAAATATGCAGTTGTTTTTTTCCAACCTGTATGGTGTCTGTGGTTTAAAATGGGGATTATTTTCTATAAATTAAGATCCAGAGTTGTTTTTTTTGGCCAAGAAGACCAGCATATCCCATTGGCTTGAGGCTTGAACACTAATTATAATTTGCCAGACTGTCAGTTGTGGTTGTGCTGTCATGGTGTTTGGTTGACCCTGATTTGAACTCATCTACAGGCAGTTCACATCTGTGTAATTAGGTTAAATTTACCTGCTTAAAACTTAAGATGACATTGTTGAAATATACAGTATATGTTAAATATATATTAAAGCCCCCGCCATTGCTAACAAGCGGATAGAAGTATGCACATAACCTTCGCTGTAAACACGGCACTGTCATGGGCTGCCGCATTTGCCGCGAGTCAGTTTGTGACATTTCTGTCCTGCTAGATCTGCCCCAGTCAACTGTAAGTGCTATTATTGTGAAATGGAAGTACATAGAAGCAGCAACAGCTCAGCCACAAAGCAGTAGATCACAGAAACTCACAGAGCTGGGCTGCCAAGAACTGAAGCGTATAGTGCTTATCCTCCATTGAATCACTCACTACAGAGTTCTAAACTGCCTCTGGAAGCAATATCACTAAAAGAACTGCAAATTGGGAGCTTCATGAAATGGGTTTTGCATGGCCGAGCAGCTGCACACAAGTCTGAGATGAAAATGCATAACGCCAAGTGTCGGGGGGAGTGACCTGAGGCATGCCACCACTGGACTCTGCAGCCGTGGAAATCTTGGTAGATGCTAGGAGAAAACTACCTATCAGAATGCGCAGTAGCAACAGTAAAGTTTCGTGGAGGAGGGATAATGGTCTGTTTTTCAGGGTCCTGGCTCACCGCCTTAGTTCCAGTGAAAAGTAGCGTGAACGTCACAGCATACAAAGACAGATTTGATAATTATATGCTTCTAACTTCGTGCCAACAGTTTGGGGAAGGCCCTTTCCTGTTCCAGGATGGCTGTGCCCCTGTGCACAAAGTGAACTCTGTAAAGACTTGGATTGATGAGTTTGTTGTGGAGGAACTCCAGTGGCCTGCACAGAGCTCTGACCTCAACCTCACTGAACACCTTTCTGATGAATTGGAGTGTTGATTGTGAACCAGGCCTTCTCATTCAACATCAGTGCCCTCAGAAATGCTCTTTTGACTAAATGGGCTCAGATTCCCACAGACACACTCCAAAATGTTGCGGAAAGCCTTCCTAGAACAGCGGAGGTTGTTATAGCCGCAAAAAGGGGGTCAACTCCGTATTAATCCCCGTAGTTTTTGAATGGTATGTCTAGCAAGCTCATATGAGCATCATGTATAGGCATCCTCTTACTTTTGGCCATATAATATATAATTAAAATTGGACCACTAGCAATTTGAAATTTGCACTCTTTGAAATCACAATTTTAATATTAAAACCCTGCAATGTAGTTTTTTAAAGAAAGAAAAGCTTGCTTTGCTTCTTGTCCAAAAAAAAGCTCATTTTCTCTATATCCTCTTGAATTGTTTGCTTGCTGTACATCTCTGTGACCTGTGCTGGCTAGGACTGAGGTGTAGGTGATGTGCAGTAGTGTAGAGTTAGAAATAGCTGCGATATCTGTTTGCTTGAAGAATGCTTGCTTGTTTTCATTGCTGCAGTGTATCTGTACTTTCTGCATTTTTGGTGGGTGTTAGGGGAAATACATCTTGCATTCTACTCTCCGCTCTGTACTTATGGCTGTGGATAACTGTGTTTGGCAGGGCTCCCATCTGTGGCTTTTTTTTTTTTCTAGGAAAAAGAACCTCTTGTTGCAGCACTCATAAGCAAGCGATTGAGCGACATTGTCAAGCTTCTCATAAACTGAATATGGAAATGTTGCCACTGCCTTTACTGAGAGCCAGTGCAGCATATGCCAGCAGTACAGACCCAGCAGGTGTGCTGCTTGCCATTGTGTTCAGGCACTGTACCCAGCGCTCTGCTGGGGCTGCCTTTGTCCTCCACTGTGCTTTGATATCCTGGCTGGACCAAGAGCATGCTGTGGGCTTCCTCTCCCGCTGTTCGTTAATTATCCAAAAAGCCATCTTTGCACACCATTTGCTCGATCTCTCTCGCTCTGCCCCGTCGCAGAGGAGGAGCATCCTCAGTGCTCAGAGCATCGCCATGACACGCTTTACTCCAGCTCGCTATTACAAATGAAACACTTTTATTTGGTAATTATATGGTTGCTTCCATGGCCGTCGTTCTCCGTGCTTCTGTGTGCTGGAACAGATGGCAGTGGGGCCACAGTTTATTGCCTGCTATTTACTGGCCACTTCACCTTTCTATGGATTTGTGATTGCATGAGGCGCAGAGCTTAGAAAATGATATCGATACAAATATTATTAGTGTTATTATTCCTTCTTTATTAATTTTTTTTTATGAGATTGCTGCAACATACTGTAACTTTTATTAGAATTCATATGAAACGGTCCACCAATCAATAAAGGCTAGTTAGGATACAGCCTATTTTTTTAGTCTTTTTTTAATGATAGTCTGTAATCTCACAAGCTAATGCTGTGCTTGGCCGCTGTTCAGTGTGCCCATTAACTCTCACACCATGTACCTACAGACTGGTACTGCTTTCAATCGCTCCCCTAAT